ATACCTATTACAATACCCATGACATTCTTCAAAGAACTGGAGCAAACACTCCTGAAATTCATATGGAACAATAAGCCCCCACGTATAGCTAAAGCAATTCTTGGGAAAAAGAAAATGGGAGGAAGCAACCTCCCAAACTTCAAACTCTACTACAAAGAATCTTCTTAGTTTAAGATAGTCCCATTTGTTTATCTCTGTTTCCACTTGCTTGGTCAGTGGCATTTCATCTTTGAAGATTCCTTTAGCTTTAATGGTGTGGAGAGTTTTGCCATTCTTTTCTTCAATGTATCTTATGAATTTTAGTCTGATGTTGAGGTCTTTAATCCATTTTGATCTGACTTCTGAGCATGGTGTTAGGTAAAAAAAAAGAACCCATTTTTTGTTTGTTTTTGCATGTAGCTGCCCAGTTTTGCCAGCACTATTTGATAAAGAGGCTTTCCTTGCTACTCTTCACATTTCTTGCTCCCTTAACAAAGATTAGATGATCATATATTTGAGAGTGTGTGTAAGGATATTCAACCCTTTCCATTTATCTGCACTTGGCTTTTTCCCCAATATCATGCTGTTTTAATTATTACCACTTTGTAATAGATTTTGATGTTGGGGAAGGTGGTGCCTCCCATTTTCTTTTTCCCAAGAATTTCTTTAGCTATTCGTGGGGGTTTGATTTTCCATGTGAATTTCAGGAGTGTTTGATTAATTTGCTTGAAGAATTTCATGGGTATCCTTATAGGAATTGCATCGATCTGTATAATACTTTGGGATTAATGCCATTTTAACAATGTTAATTGTCCCAATCCATGAGAAGGGATGTGTTCCCATTTCTTTGTGTCCTATTTTATGTTTTGAAGTAAAGTTTTGTAGTTTTCTTTGTAAAGGTCTTTTATCTCCTTATTTAAGTGGACTCCCAGTATATGATTTTCTAAGTCATGATTGTGGATATGAATGCTTTTACTTCATATAGTTTTCTTCTCTCTGTGTATATTATTTGTTTATAGGAAAGTCATGGATTTTTTTATATTGATTTTATAGCCTGTGATTTTACTATACAAGTCTTTTGTTTCTAGGAGTTTCTTGGTATAAGATTTAGGGTTCTCTAAATATAGTATCGTATCATCTGAAAATAGTAAGAGCTTGATTTCTTCCTTTCCTATCTGTACTTCCAGTACTATAGTGAATAAATGTGGAGAGAGTAGGCATCCTGTCTTGTCCCTGATCTTAGAGGGAAGGCTCTTAGTTTTTCCCTATTGAGGATAATGCTTGCCATAAGCTTGTGGTGATGGCTTTGACTATATTGAGGAAAGTTTCTTCAATGTCCATTTTGGTAAGCATTTCATCATAAACAGGTGCTGGATCTTGTCAAATGCTTTATCTTCATCTATTGATATGATGAAATGGTTCTTAAATTTTCTTTTATTGCTCTGTTATATTATGTTGATTGACTTATGAATGTTAAACTATCCTAGTGTCCCCAGGATGATCATGGTGTATGATCTCTTTGATGAATTGTTGGATTCTATTTGCTAATATTCTGTGTTCATCAGGGATATCGACCTGTAATTTTCTTTTATCGTGGTGTCTCTGTTTTTGGTATTAGGGTGATATTTGCCTCATAGAAACTGTTTGAGAGTGTTTCTATTTCTTCACTTTCCTGGAAAAAAGCTTCAAAAGAACTGTCAAGATTTCCTCTTTAAATCTTTGGAAGAATTTGCTTGTGAATCTATTTGGACCTGGGCTTTCGTTTTTGGAAGAGTTTTGATTACAGTTTCAATTTCCTTTACAGTAATAGGTCTATTCAGGTATTCCAAATCTTCTTGGTTCAGCATTGGGAGGTTATAGGAATCTAGATATTTATCCATTTCTTCTAACTTCCCTTGTTTCGTGACATACAGTCTTTCAAAGTAATCTCTGATGATCTTTTGAATTTCTTTGGTTTCTATTGTGATGTACCCCTTTTCTTTTTTATTTGGTTTATTAAGACTCTCTCTCTCTTTTCTGAGTCTTGCTAGTGGTGTGTCAATTTCGTTTATTTTCTCAAAGAACTAACTCTTTGTTTCATTGATCTTTCAGATTGTTCTTTGGGTTTCCATGTTGTTAATTTCTGCTGTAAGTTTTATTATTTCTTTCCTTCTACCTGGTTTGGGCTTCTTTTGTTGGTCCTTTTTTAAGGTCTTGAGCTGCAAAATCAGTTTATTTATGTGGGCCCTTTCTTCCTTCCTGAGAAATGCCTGCAGAGCAATAAATTTTCCCCTTGACACTGCTTTAGCTGTGTCCCAGAGGTTCTGGTAGGTCATGCCTACATTCTTATTTGTTTCCAGGTATCTTTTGATTTCTTCCTTGATTTACTCCTTGAAACATTCATTGCTCAAAATTGAGTTGTTTAATTTTCAGGCGTTTGATTTTATTCTCTGCCTAGAGGCCACACTCCCTGCCACGTTGTGCCTGTGACAAAGTTGGCTGTGTCAGTGCCCAAGAAGAATTAAAGTCCACTTCTGATGTAGTTCTAACCTCACTGGGGAACCCCTTCGCCCGGGTGCTGGGGTGCACCTTGGCCAAGGAGGGGGGTGTTCTTGCAGTTCCCTGGGTCAGTTTTCTGGGCACGCTACCCAGGAAGCTGAGAAGCATAATTTGTCCTCATTTCAGTACATCAGTATCAAGAGCAAGCAAAGCAGAAGTTCATGGATGGTCACTGTTTAGTTCAACCAACAATCAACCAACAATACTAAGGAAAAAAATCTTTGTGTATTGGGGGATGGGGTGGAGAGCAAGGAGAGATGGCAGGGTGTGAACCCAAAGCCTCAAAATGGCAAAACAAACACTTTACTACTGAGCCATATCCTTGTCCCTTCTTAAGCTGCAGTTTTAAAACCTAAAAAAGAAGCAGTAGATATAGCTAATGAGGCAGAGGACTGAAAATGCCTATTACTACACATTATGGAGATCGTATCATTAAACAGTGCTGCTGACAATTTCAGCACTGGGATGTAAGAAACATAGAGCTCAGAGAAGTAATGGAAATAAAGAGCTTCACATACATGTATTGAAAAAAAATAAGGGCACTTAAATTGGCTGTCTGTTCCTATTTGCAACTATTGATATAATACAAACTCACAAAAAAAAGAAGTTAGAAATAGAAATAGAGATAACTGAATGATTTCCTGCCACACATAATAGTCCATGAAATTACAGTTATCTATCATTTTGGTAAACTGAGCTTAATCTCAGAGGTTGTAGATGATTTTTAGCTCCTCTCAGCTCTACTGGACACTTGACTAGGCTGATACTAAGATTCTCTGTTTCAACTGTCCTTCCCTCAGATTCTGAGAGTCTATTCTGACACAGGGCATTAATGAGCACTAAGTTTGGAAGCACAATTTTGCCTGTTTTCTTTTAGGGCATGAACACCTGGTTTATTTCCTCCAATCTTTGAAACAAAGTCCCTAAGTGCACTGTTCAGGTGCCAACACATTATCTTCTAATTCTATTTTCTTCCCCTTCCATATTTATAGTTGCCTAGTATATGTATGAATAGTTTTAAACTAATTACACCTCCCCCATTCCTCAAAGACGGACAGAATAATTTTATAGCAGGTAAGGTGCTTGCCTTGCATGTGGCCAAACTAGGTTCAATTTCTGGCACTCATATGATTGCAGCTGTAAGACCCCAATGTAGAATCATTTTAGAAAATTATAATACGTAGTAACTTTATTTTTGAAGCTTTTGATTATTTTTGAAAATCAACTTTATGATTGATTTTCACAATTGACAGAACTGCTCAAATTTTACTGACACAGAAACAATTTATCAGAGAGAATGTTTTTATAGTGGGGACTGGGAGAGGCTATTCTTTTGATTTTATGAATCATCGTGAGGTACAGTTACAGACTTGCAAACTTTTGTGCTTACATTTCAGTCATACAATGTTCTAGTACCCATTTCTCTACCTGTGCCTATTCTCCACCACCAATGATCCCAGTATCCCTCCCACCACCCCCACCGCATCCACCCCACCCCACCCCACCCCGGTGACAGGGCTTTTTCTTTTGCTCTCTCTCACTCCTTTTGGGTGTTGTGGTTTGCAATAGAGGTATTGAGTGGCCATCATTCAATCTATAGTCTACTTTCAACATGCATCTCCCAACCGGAGCGGGCCCTCCAAGCACCCTTTACTTGGTGGTTCCCTTCTCTATCTGAGTTGGCTTTCCCCCCAGCATGTGAGGCCAGCTTCCAAGCTGTGGAGCAACTGGAAGAGGCTATTCTTGAGATCTTTCAGCTTTGATGTTTGCAGTGTCTGTGCTGTCGTTGGTAGGTGAAATAGGTACTCAATTCATCTATGGGGTCTAGATTCTCTAGATTATTACACAGAAAAAAGGACATTTTCTTCTTTCAGGAAGGAAGTCCCAACTTTAACCAAAGATATTTCTTTTTTTTAAAGTTTAAAAAGTCCTGATTTTATTTATTTTTAACATTTTTAAAATTCTTTCAATATTGTTATTTTATTTTTTTATTAGTGAGACTCCACGTGGCACAGTTGTTGACCTTACAAGTTTTTGTACTTGGGTTTCAGTAATACAATGATCGAGTACTCATCCCTCCACCAGTGCCCATTCTCTACCACCAATGATCCCAGTAACCCTCCCACCCCTCCCATACCCCCATCCCATCCCACATCTGTGGCAGGGCATTCCGTTTTGTTCTTTCTCTCCTTTTTAACCAAAGATATTTCTTAATGCTATAATTAGGTGGTTTAAAGATTCTACCTTTAGTTATCTACATAGTTTCACAGCCAGTGAAATATTTTTAAAATAAAAACCTTGTTTGTTTGATTTTGAATATTTTTAAGTCCTGGACCACACTTAGTTGACCTAGCTTTTGTAGTACTCAGGCCCATTCATTGCCTGCAATAGAATCCTGTATGTAAGTCATATGCTCAACCACCGAGCTATCTCTTTACCACTGTTTTTGAAATTTTAACACACTCCAAATCTTATTTTATCAGAAATGGTTGTCTTTCTGGTTTGGGGGCCATATCCAGCTGTGTTCAGAGCTAATTCCTGATTCTGTGCTCAAGGATCACAACTGGCAGGTCTCAGGGGTGCTAGATGTTGAACTGGGTCAGCCAAGTGCCAGGTAAGTACCTTATTCCCTGTATTATGCAGCCTCAAAAGTGGTTTTTCTTTTATAAAAATATAGGACTATATTATATTTATATCTCAAACACATTATTTTTAAAAATTTTGTATTTTTACAATTATTAACATGTTAAAGTAGTGGACATGTTTGTATTATTTATACTCCTAAATTTCTATGATTTTTCTGAAATTCCAGACCATAATTTGGTTCGTATAGTCCTTCTCAGAAATAATGCTGAGTCTACTTCCTTATAGTTTTGGGAATATATTCCCTCTCCTTATTTTATTGCTTATGTACAGTTTAATTTCCACTAGAAATGTTTCAGGTGTGCATTGAAAATCAACATGTATATAAGCTACATTAAGTTCACCTCTGAACATTCACTCACCATACAATTCTCCTTTTATTTGATTTACCCACCTTCTGTTCACCTCCATTTCTTTTTTTTTTCTTTTTGGGTCATACCCAGCGATGCTCCGGGGTTACTCCTGGCTCATGCACTCAGGAGTTACTCCCGGCGGTGCTCGGGGACTGTATGGGATGCTGGGAATCGAACACGGGTCGACCATGTTGGCTGCGTGCAAGGCAAATGCCCTACCCACTGTGCTATCGCTACAGCTCCCCACCTCCATTTCTTATGGTAACTGCTATTATAGTGTATGCATTTTTGTTTGTTTCTATATTCCATGTGAAATAATATGGCATATGTATTTCTCTGTCTTACTTATTTCATTTAGCATAATACCCTCTAGATTCATTCATATTGTTGCAATTGAAAAGATCACATCTGTTTTAAATAGCTAAGAACTATGTATACATACCACATCTTTATCCATTCACCTGTCGATATTAATCTTAGGTTGCCTCCAATAATATTATTTCAATGTTAATCTTAGGTTACTTTTGGTTTTTGTAAAGCTTGCAATGAATAAGGACTATTAATATCTATTTGTATATTTTAAATTAGTGTTTTGGTATTTTGTTTAGATAAATTCATAAAAGGAAGTTAATGAAATCACATGGAAGTTCTATTAACTGTTGGAGGAATTCCATCTGGCTGTATTAATTTAAAAAATAGAGGTGCCAAAAGGTATGGCAATTGTATAGCACAGAGGCAGATGGGGTTTGATTCCCCAGCACCCCATATGGACCCCATGCCATCCTAAGAGTGATCCCTGAGCACAGCATCAAGAGTAAGCCCTGAGGACCACCAGGTGTGTCCAAACACCAAAATAAATGAAAAGAAATTAAATTATTGTATACAAATGATTAAAAGATCAAATTTAAAACAGCTGTATGAGTTCATGCTGCTCAGAAGGGAAGTCCTTTAAATTGCTTTCTCGTTGGGGGTCTTTTAGTATCTCAAAACAGCATGTTTTTACAGCAATTTCTTGATTTCTCAGTTACAGGAATAATTCTTTACTATTATGGAAGAAGAGAATGAATTCTATCATTTTCTATTTGCTAACACTCCAATTAGTTGTATTATCATTTAAAATTTCTTTCTTGATGAAATTTCTAACTATAATATGTATATATATATATAATATCTGTGGCAGAGGTAATTCTTTCAGCTATGGACAGTTCTTCACTTTTTTAAAAAAATAATAAGTCCATTATTATCTGTTTTTTCAAATATCTATTTTCCCATCTCTCTCTACCAACTTTTTACTTTTATATTATTAAAGGTTGGTAACACTCAGATCCTTTTTATTTTTAAATGTGATGTGTTGTCTATTAGTTATTGCTAAAAGTAGAAAACTAATGAAATATTTGCTTATGATTATGCAAATATTATTTAGTGAAAAGAACATTAATTTGCTAAACATAACTTGTTCTCTTGACTCCCAAAGATAGACCCCTATTTAATATAAAATTTAATGTATTCTTCCTTTTTTGAATTCTGCCATGACACATTTTAATTTGCATTATAATAGGAAAGCAATATTTTTTTACACTTGTTATCTTTTGGAATTTCTCATTGCCTTAATTTTATTTTTGGAAGAACAACCATATGTTATCACTGTTTCCTTCTTATCTTTTAACATCCCAGCATGTTGTCTATATCTTGCACTATAATTTTGTTTTATATTTTAAAACTCACTTTATCCAATTTGGAGTTATTTTCTTATATTTGTTTATATTTGAATTGTCTTCCATAGAGTTATTCATTCTTGGAATTTTTAATTGCTTTTTACTTTGAATCTTTTGCATCATTTCCCACTTAAACACTCAAATATTCTGTAGAGTTATTCTTCATCACACCTTATCTTAGTGGAGAATTGCCTTTTTAGTGCACTTCCTTACTTTCTGATACTTTATATCCTCTTGAAAATAAAGATAGTAAACAAGATAAAGGCATTTAGCAGATTTTTTTATGTTGACTCTAGTTAGTGTCAGGGAGAGAAACATGTTGGAAATAGGAAGTCTTAGCTGTCACTGTAGCAGATGATGCACTCTAAAATTCAACGTTAAAATTCTGTCATGCATTTATCTATGAAGGTAATTTAAGTACCTTAAATTAAATCAATATTTTTTTTGCTTTTTTGGTCGTACCCAGCGATGCACAGGGGTTACTCCTGGCTCTGCATTAGGAATTACTCCTGGAGGTGCTTGGGGGACCATATGGGATGCTGGGAATTGAACCCGGATCAGCCACATGCAAGGCAAACGCCCTACCTGCTATGCTATCACTTCAGCCCCCAAATCAAGATTTTTAAAATTAATATTTAAAGCAAGAAATTTAAAAACAAATATTTAACTTTAAATATTTAAACTATTTTTGCAATTAATGCTTACAACAAGGGAAGGGGGAAAACAAGTATATAAATCTGAACCAAAGTAAGTAAAGAATAAAATTAGACTTTAGGAGGTGAGTTTAATATGCTATACAAAAATTTATTTTCTATGATGCTTTCTTGAAGTATAATTTTTAGTATTTTATTATTCTTAAAAATGTTTTTGTAATGTTAATGTTTAATTTTAGTTATCTACTACTATCTTTATTTCACTTTTAACCTACCTTTTCCCCCCTCACTCAACCACTTCATAATTTCAGTTCTGTTCTATGAGTCCAAGAGTTTGTTTCCACTGGATACTGTCTGGTCCTTTTAACTGCTTCATTATGTACCAATTATGTATGATATCACCCTGCTATTGTCTTCCATCTGATTTTATTTATTTAGCATGATTCTCTTTAGTTCCATCCAAGGTGTAGCAAAAAGGTATGATTTAAGTTTTTTCCCATACTTGTATATGTGTCTTTGTGTATATACATCACCTTTTTTATGCTCTTATAGGTCTTTAAAAATTGGATTATTCATAAATATTGGCTGTTAAAACTAATAAAAAGGTATGATGCAAGGTTAAAGTTACTTCAAGGGGGAAAAATGTAGTCAGAAAAAAAAAGTGCTATTCTTTATTACTCATAAGGTTTATACATGTAGATAGTACTTAGGTCTTGGTCGCCTGTGTAGAATTAAACCTAGCATTGTTTGTAAGCAGAGAAAATCATTTTTTTCAATTACCAAATAAGAAGATTTGAAAATGAGCTTTTAGAACATAATGTCCCTTACAATTCATTAATTAAATTGTCAGTTGATCATGCTGCATTTTTTCAAACTGAAAGACGATTTCTTTAATCATTTGTCTATGCAGAAATTTTAAGTTTCTTTTACTTCTTCTAGGCTGGGTTGGTATTATAAATCTCAATATTAACTTATAAGAATTAAAAACTGGTTAAACTCTAAGGCATTTGAAATGTTGGTCATTTAGATCGTAAGGAATCTATTGTGTTTTTAAAGTGACCAGCATACAAAAAAAGGTCAATTTAAAGTTATTTTTAGTAAAACGTCACAGAAACATATTTTGGTAATTCCTTCCTTTTTGGTCTGTTGCATACCAAATAGAGATAATGTTTTTAAAGCAATACCTAAATGTTCTCATTAATTCAAGGTGTGAGGTTCCCTGGAAAGAAATGCAATTATACCCTAGAGGCAGCCAGATTTCTGAGCCTTAAATTTGTACTTTGGCTGTTAGAGCTATTTTATTTTGTTTACTTCAGATTTCACTCACACAGAGAATCCATCTGTATATACATATAACATGGCCTAAATATTTAACCAAGATTTTTTATTTACAACTAATTGAAATGAAAAACTGATTTTCTAAGTAGATTTAGTTTATGATTATTTTTACTTTTGCTTTAATTTACTTGGTATACAGACATTTCTTCAATCTTAATATTACATTTATTTATATTATTATTTTATAATTTCACTATATTATATCATAATGTACATACTATACTATATTATGTTTTAAAATTTAGGACTCTAAAACTGAATTACTACACAGCAACCTTAGTTAAGCAAATATTGTCCCTATTACAATAAGGCTTAGAATAAAAATAATCTTCTACTTAATAAAATATAAAGATGAAAAGTAAATATCTGAATAAATAAATGGAATATTTCATACTTAAAAACATTTATTTATATAAATTAAGGGTCAAATTAATACTTATTATTGTGCACATCTGAAAAGTATATAGCAGAAAGGCCATTACTATTTCTGAATTCTCTGCAGCTTTCATATGGCATTCCGAGTATAAACATATTTTTAGATATATTTTATCAGATTTCACAAATGTGAATATGTGTTTCTAAAAAACCATTACTATAAAGTATATTATATTTCACAGACTTGTGTGAAGATGTATATTGAACATCTATCAATACTTGCTGACATTATCTTAGTTTCTTAATATTTCATTGATATGTACTTAATATATATTATCTTAGGTATACATTTAGGCTGGAGTGATGGCACAGTGGTAGGGCGTTTGCCTTGCATGCAGCCAACATGGCCATCCTGAGTTCGATTCCTCCGCCCCTCTCGAAGAGCCTGGCAAGCTACCCGTGATGTATTCGATGTGCCAAACACAGTAACAACAAAGTCTCCAATGGAGATGTTACTGGGCCTGC